CGCTAGCAATGAGCCTCAGAAATATTAGCCTGGGGAGCAGGGACCTTGGAGTGAGTGAAGCCATGCTCAAGAGTCAGGAAGCCAACCGCCCACCAGCCTCACACACACAACTATATTAATAAAAAGGACCATACAGCAAAAAACGTTCAAAAATGTATGAAGCCCTTGACCCACAGCAATATTCTACCCACAAAGCACTGGCATCAGAAAGCACAGTGCTAAAAAATACATTCAGTCATAAGTTAAACTTCAGAGCAGCAGCTCAGAGGAATGGGCAGAGCTTAGGAGAGACAAAGATAATAAGACACTAGAATTTTGGCAACTCTTTAGTCATAAGAGTATTGCCTATTCTCTGTAAGAAAGAAGTGAATACTGTCTTACTGATAAGGCCTTTAGGTATAACTTAGGTAAATGATTATTGAAATAAATACAGCATTTAATAGATAAAATGTAAAGTGACGTGACATGTGGTCAAGTATGGTTACCCATACTAGGAATTAGTGCTCTGCATTTAACCCATCCTTAGTGCACACACACAGCAGTGAACACACACCCGGAGCAGTGGGCAGCCATTTATGCTGCGGCGCCCGGGGAGCAGTTGGGGGTTCAGTGCCTTGCTCATGGGCACCTCAGTCGTGGTATTGAAGGTGGAAGAGAGCGCTGTACATTCACTCCCCCCACCTACAATCCCTGCCGGTGCAAGACTCGAACCCCGCAACCTTTGGGTTACGAGTCCGACTCTCTAACCATTAGGCCACGACTTCCCCATTTTGCAGTCCTCTCGCATTTAATCATGACTGATTCACAGAAAATGAGGCAAATCAATAAAGAGTTTTCATTAATTCTACGCCTTGGACTAATCAATAGAATGTGACACACACACACACACACACACACACACACACACAGACAGGCCTTACAGAAAATAATTAAATATTTAAATACCTCCTACATCTAAAATATAATTATGATAACGCCACAAGGCAAATAATGGAACAATATCACATATATTATATTATTAATAAGCTATCCAAATTACATGTCATCCTCTGTTAACTTCTCTCTCATCCAGCTGTTTGTTTGTCTTACCCGTCCTTGTTTATTTGATGTTTTCATTGCCTTGAGATCGAGTTTAGCAATCATTCAAAAGGATACAGTCGATGGTGAATAACTATCCAATGCAATGTATAATGTATATTTATATTAGTGTAGTTCCCTATGGACCTGTGGAATGCTCCGAAGAGAAGCAAATGCTTTCGTTTGTTTACGTTTGTGAACTCATAGATACAGACAACAGCGGGAATTGCATCTCCTGCATTCCTCGGCAACCAAGACAGTCTGGGAATGGAAGAGATCTTTCGGTAGTTTCTGCAAACATATTATGATGTCATCTGTTGTTATTTCAGAAGCCTAACATCATGAGCAAATATCAAAATAGATGCGAAAATATGAAATACATAAACAGCCTTTTATAAATTTTGGCATTCAAATTTTTATTTGGCTGACTTGTGAGATACTCAGTGGACGATTGAAAGTCTTATTGGCATATATCCTCCTGACTACCAGGAAAAAACAGTTTTGTGAATTTAGTATCTTGTCATGTCATTACATTGTTTAGAGCATAAGAAAAATTGCGAAAAATAAAATTTTTGAAAAATTATATTTTATTCATATGTTATGCCATGTCCTCTGTAGAGGACATCGGGACTTTAAAAAGTCCTGATTTAAAAAAATAAAATAAAAAGACATGAATGGACATGTTTAGTTTTTTATGTAGTAAGCAAATGTAGAATGAGTGCAAATCTAAGTGCGCCATCTGGTGGCTGTTCAAGGAATAACAGAAATCTTTTCTATTAAGCTAACAATTCTAGGAAGATATACTGCAATATAACACATTAGGTTCATTAAACGTGCAACATTTTTCATAATTTTGTGAAAACATGAATGTAAATCTGCAAACAGTGTCTTTCATACTGGTGGCAACAAGTGGCATGAAAACTGCTCACTTTAGTTGCACTGTAATGTTGCACTTTTGACAGGCACTAGGGGCGGAAACTAGTTTATGCTATGACATTTTCTGGCAATGAGAGATGGTAAAATGTTAAAACTTTTTTTTCTGGCAATGAGAAATGTTGAGAAAGGGTAATTGAGCTGTGAGGTATTCAGCCCCATTTGTTTGGGTGATGCAGGAAGTATTCCTCCCCCGACTGCAACCACCCACTCTTGTCTAATACGTGAGGAGCTTGACATCTAAAATGAGCCTAGTCTTAGTGCAGCTGGTTGCTTCTTCAGGCTTGACACCTTTTTGGGGGCACAGTGGCACCATAGTGGTTTGTGGACAGGGAGTGATTAAAGAAGTCTATATAGATAGGGGCCAGTCGTGCAGCATATGTTCTTGGTGTACATTAGTTTAAACCTCAGAATCTTTTTATTTACCCATCTCTCCTCAGCTGTAAACCAGCTCAGTATGGTTCACAAGAGTCCTCATGGTACAGAACAGTTTGTTTGGCATGTAGATCATGAAAGTGTTTGGTTTTACAAGTGAGGCTTTACACACGACATTAAATTGTTTACTGAAACTATTCACAGTGCCTTTGGTTGGTTTTATCACGAGAGGCGAGAAAAACCAGCGAGACTAGAGGAATGCAGGGAAAAGGCCTATGAAGATAGAATACATGCCCAACTGCACGAGGAACAGCCTTATTTGGAGGCAAATGATTATGCTTTGGAAACAGAGTCTGAGAAAACCCTAGAGCCAGAAACACTATAAGAGGGAGAAAAACAGCAGAAAAAAATTATGGTAGATTTTCAGGGGACAGATTTGATCTGTTATGTAAAGTGCTCTACTGCACAAAGGCAAATCTACACATTTTGTCAAAATCCAAATTGGGATTACAAACAAATTACTTAAAATTTAAAATAAATAAATTACAATATGACTGTTTTTTTTATCCAATACATGCAGCCTTGGTAAGACTTGTTTCAAAATCATTTAAAAAATTGTAAAGTGCTCTACTGCACAAAGGCAAATCTACACATTTTGTCAAAATCCAAATTGGGATTACAAACAAATTACTTAAATAAAATTTAAAATAAATAAATTACAATATGACTGTTTTTTTTATCCAATACATGCAGCCTTGGTAAGACTTTAAGAATTTAAAAAATGATTATAGATAGATAGACAGATAGATAGATAGATTATAGACAGATTTCCTTTGAAAACAACTCTTTAAATCTCATGCAGTGTTGCTTTTAATTGTTTTAGGGTATTTTTCATTGGAGAGTAATGCAAAAATACTTAAGTATTTTAAGAATTATAAGATATATTCTAAGATGATTTTGTCTCAACTACACTCAGATTCAGAGAAATTGGTAGGAAAACTGAACCTGTCAAAACAATCTAAATTCTTTTGAAAAACTTTTGAAAAGCCATTTTCAGTTTATTTTGCCTGTAGTTGATAGTATTGGCATACGTATATAGATAGTACAATAGATAAGAATCATTTATCTATTACTGTTCATCATTGGCATGATAAGCATCAAACATTTAGCATTTAAACTAAGCACTTCGGTATTCAATGTAGTGAAGAGCTACTTTTATGGTAAGACAACTTGGCATTTGGAAAGTCAGACAGGATTCTTTCCCATTTTTTTCTTTTTCTATCCAGATTTGGAGAGGTTTATCCATTTCTGAGCAGCTTGTAGACAACTAAAAATGCAGCTCACCTGATGCAATTTAAAGTATTTTGGACAGAAGTACTAAACCCAAGTCTTTCACAGCTATCATTAAAACCATCCCTCAAGCAGGATGTAATTGTGCACTCAGTCATATGCACTTGAAACCCAATGCAAAGCAGGAATTAAGCCAGGCAAACAAATACTGGGTTACAACTTGTTGGTTCTGATGGTCTGTGGTAGTTAGAAGATGACTTTGATATAAGTAAAACACAATTTCACAATACATATTTCTTAGATTGTAATTAGAGAACAAAACAAGACACCAAAATGACACTTTTTAAAAGCAGAATTTATTAGATATGGTACCTCTGACATTTATGGAGATGTGACAGCATCATTGTGTAAGTGTGCTTAACATATGTTTGGCTGTACTATATTTATGCCTTTGGAATTGGATTATGTTGTTTCTATTTAAAAGGCAGCACTAAACACAACAGCACACAACTTTACACAACTAATTCACTTTCTGTCCATATTTACAACAAATCCTCAAACACATTCACAGCACACATTCACACCAGAGACCAGCTAATATCTATTAATAACATCCAAAAAAGAGACTCAACAAAATGTGAGACTCTTCAGTGTGAGTAATAAATTAGAAACCAGTTCAGAGTACCTCATTTTTGGGGCTTAAATTTTTTTCGGAATATATCGAACACTCAGCAAGAGCACAAATTCTGCTTGCTCAGTTGCTGCAGTCATTTGCAAATGTTGGTTAATTTTTCAATGTCAGACTTAAATCATAGTGTTTTGACTATTTCAATTTGCGCCGTGCCTTTCTCTTATGTCGGTCACATAAAAATAACTCGCACTTAATTACATTATTTCATACCCTACGCATGGGTTGATTACAGTGGCCAGTCACTATGGCAACTGGCCTACCATGATTCACCAATACTTGGCTGTTTAACTCAACAACAGATAATTACTGGACAAAAAGGTTATGCTTTTGGCTGATGGTCTCATCGGGTATTTAAGACTAATAGATTAACAATAACAGGTGATGTATTTCGTGCAGAATACAATGTATGTTTTATAAAACCACATAAATACACACTTTCTGCTTTATAAGGCTTAATTTGAGTAATAAAAACACAGCACACTATAAAGAAATACTGGATACACTGTAATGCACATGACATATAAATATTCATTGTAATATGCATTCATAGTGCTCTGTGTGAAGCAAAATATTAAAAGGATAGTTCACCCAAAAACTATTTCATTTTTATTTTATATGAACAGACATGAGGGCGAGTAAATAATGACAGATTTTCATTTTTGGGTGAACTGTTCCTTTAAGATTCTTTCAGCTACTTCATTAGATACCTCGAAGCTTTTTAACAAATATTTATTTTACAAACTGCAAATGTCCGTAGTGTATATTGGTCAATTTAATACATACATTAAGACTAAAGTGTACGATTAAGATCGGTTTTCCCTGACAGGTATAGGATGTGTTCGGCACATTTTTTAGAGATATTCACAGATGTTCATGCTCTTCTGCTGTCCCTCAACAGTCAGGTGCCCTGAATGCAGTACCTGACAGGAAGTAGCAGGAGTTGGGGTGAGAATCTGCAAGTGATCAACCCCTGGATCTCCCAGGCCATGTGGGGGTCGTCTCAAAAAGCTCCCATTCGTGTTGGCCGGACAGCACAGGAGAAAGGTGCACATTCAAGATTAGGTTTGGAGGACAGCAATCAGAGCTGCTGAGGGGCGGCCTGCTCCCTGTAGCCTGAAAGTACAAGGGCATCAGAGTTCACAAGACAGCTAGTTCTGTATATATACACTACTGGGGCCTGCAATATGTGTTTTTGTTTTTGAAAGTCTCTTATGCTTAACAAGGCTGCATTAATTTGATCAAAAATAAAGTAAAAACAGTAATATTGTGAAATAGTATTACAATTTCTATGTTTTATATTTTAATATACAGGTGCATCTCAATAAATTAGAATGTCGTGGAAAAGTTCATTTATTTCAGTAATTCAACTGAAATTGTGAAACTCGTGTATTAAATAAATTCAATGCACACAGACTGAAGTAGTTTAAGTCTTTGGTTCTTTTAATTGTGATGATTTTGGCTCACATTTAACAAAAACCAATAAAATAAAACCAATAAAAAAAACATTTTTAGTGAATTGTTGGCCTTCTGGAAAATATGTTCATTTACCGTACATGTACTCAATACTTGGTAGGGGCTCATTTTGCTTTAATTACTGCCTCAATTCAGCGTGGCATGGAGGTGATCAGTTTGTGGCACTGCTGAGGTGGTATGGAAGCCCAGGTTTCTTTGACAGTGGCCTTCAGCTCATCTACATTTTTTGGTCTCTTGTTTCTCATTTTCCTCTTGACAATACCCCATAGATTCTCTATGGAATTTATTTAATACACGAGTTTCACAATTTGAGTTGAATTACTGAAATAAATGAACTTTTCCACGACATTCTAATTTATTGAGATGCACCTGTATTTCAAAATGTAACTTATTCCTATGATGGCAAAGCTGAATTTTCAGCATCATTACTCCAGTCTTCAGTGTCACATAATCCTTCAGAAATCATTCTAATATGATTTGGTGCTCAAACATTTATTATTATTATCCAATGCTGAAAACAGTTGCACTGCTAAATATTTTTGTGCAAACCATCATTTATTTGATATATGAATCTTTTGAAACATTTTAAATGTCTTTTAATTATATATGGTTTATAAACATTATTTTAAACATTATGCACTTTTTTCAAGGATAGTTGTGTTATTTTATTACGCGTTGAAGAAACGTGCATAATATTTTGCTCTATGCGCCCTCTTGTGGCCTCAGGAGAGAAGCCAAAAGCTTTTTTCCCCCTAACTGAAATTATGCCTTTTAAATTCGAATATAATTCGAATTTTGATCATATTTAAGTAGAAAATTCGAATTTAGTTTTTCAGTCATTTTGACAGCCCTAGTCTTTACTGTCACTTTTGCATCAATTTAATGCATACTTTCTGAATAAAAGTAAATTGAATAAGAAAAAGAAAAGAATTGTGTTAGCTCCAAACTTTTGAATGGTTAAATATCTGCCATTGTAACTGAATGGTTTTAGGTAGGTGAATAATAACTTATTCATTGGTTTATTCCTCATTTTATCACTTTATCGCATGATTTGACCTTTTTTGTCTTTTTTTGTCACTGTATTATAACAGCATAAATGTTTAAAAGGAAATGAGGGTGACAGTTTTAGTTTTGTGTGTGTGTGTGTGTGTGTGTGTGTGTGAGTGTGCGAACTATTATTAATGTTTTTTTGTAAATTGAAATAAAGCTGAAATAAAATAAAATAATAAATACTAGATCAAAAAACTTTTAAAAAAAATAGAAATGTTGCTTTGGAAACTAACTGAAATAAAATAAGTTTAAGGTAAAGTTAAAAAAAATACTAAAACTGAAATAAAAATAAATTAATGATAAATAGAAATATTAAAAAACCTCATAAAAATTATAAATTCTTTTTTAATGAGCGCTATGGTTCTACTGGCATTTAATGGACAAAAAGTGGATCAAACAGACTGAGAGGAGACTGGCAGATGGCAAGTGGTGGGAGGCACATTATCCGAGATGGATCAGAATAAACAGAATGGGAGAAGCCAAGCTTGCAGCATGCGTAGTGATAATGGGCTGAGATGAGTGACCAAACTGTGAGGACAGCAGACCTGTGTCAAATATATTATTGTGTTATGCTATTTAGGATTTTACCATGTTTTTATTGCATTTAGATTGGTTTTCATTAGTAACATTCATTACTATTCATTACTTTCACTAGTAATATTTTATAAGGGTTACATACACACTGCAGATTTGACTATTATTTGACAATCGACATTTAAATGCAAGAATGAATGCCCTAAATGATCATTCTGTTAAAAAATGCGTAGTTTGGCATAATGATAACTATAGAGATATTTTGGTGTCTCATGTCTATGAATAGTTATATACATACATCATTAAATGTGTATAAAAGTATGAAACTTAATTATGCTTATACTTTGTTTTAGCCATAATGCATCCATTAGTGGAAAAGGCAAACTCATAATGCAATGCAACAAGCTCAGTAAAAGAAATAAATCCAAGTTGTAAGAGATTTTTTACAGTTCTATTGAATTCAAACGAGCTAATGCGACACAACTCTTGAACGTTTTGTCACAATTTAATTTCATTTAATTTCATCTTGTAAAATGGAAGTCTGTTTGCGTTATATATGAATAATTTTCTGTGGCCATAACCAGATAGAGATATAGAACCAGATATAGAAATTTAGATCCAAAATAAGAAGATGATTCAGATGAGTCAGGATAACTGAATGAATTTAAGTTTGTACAAAAAAGAAATAGGAATAAATGAATAAATTACATTTCAAAATATTTTAAAATAGTGACTTTAATATGTAACATATGCTGCATTCTTCTGCATTCTGTTTATAATAAAATATTTTATTTTTATTAGGTTACAAAATGGCATTATTGATGCGTCTCATGTCTGTGAACAAGAAACTAATATTAAAATAATAATATTTTTGTGTTATACAGTCGTGGTCAGAATTATTGGCACCCTTGGTAAATATGATCAAAGAAGGCTGTGAAAATAAATCTGCATTGTTAATCATTTTGATCTTTTATTTAAAAAAATTCACAAATATCTAACCTTTCATTGAACTAAAACAATTGAAAATGGGGGAAAATCTCATTATGAAATAAATGTTTTTTCTCAAATACATGTTGGACACAATTATTGGTACCCCTAGAAATTCTTATGAGTAAAATATCTGTGAAGTATATTCCCATTCATATTTACAATTTTGAGCATACCAGGGTGATTATGAACATGAAATTATCCAGCCATGGCTTCCTGTTTCACAGGAATATAAATAGGAGGGAAAACAAAGGCCAAATTCCCTTAATCATCCATCACAATGAGAAAAACCAAAGAATATATTTCTGATGTGCAGCAAAAGATAATTGATTAGAAATTAGAAAGTGAACTTTAAGAAAAGAGCTAGAGCAGTGAAAATTCCCATTTCCACCATCAGGGCAATAATTAAGAATTTCCAAGCAACAGAAAATGCTACAAATCTGGATATTTTACTCATAAGAATTTCTAGGGGTACCAATAATTGTGTCCAACCTGTATTTGAGAAAAACATTTGTGTCATAATGATATTTCCCCCCATTTTAAATTCTTATTCTCCAATGAAAGGTTAGATTTATGTGAATTTTTAAAATAAAAGATCAAAATGATTAACAATGCAGATTTATTTTCACAGCCTTCTTTGATCATATTTACCAAGGGTGCCAATAATTCTGACCACGACTGTATTATATCTAGCATTTGCTGCCTCCAAGCATTCAAATTTTTAATATTTAATGATAAAGGCTTTATACTCCTAGACGATATTGAGGTTGCAAACGTTGCAAACAAAGAAACATTGTGTTTATAACAAAACACATTTTTGTGCAGTGTAGCTGCAGTATATATGTGGCCAATGCTTGCAGGCTATGTTTTATAATATTTGAGACAGGTATGAATATAAGTTGTGACAAGACAAAAGTCAAATATTAGGTTCACCTACCTTTAGAGACTTTCAATCCAAAAGGTTGTGAAATAGCAAAATAAAAAAATAATAGATTAGAATTTTGAATCATATGTGTTTAAACGTTCAATGACAGTACAAACGTTCCACAGGAAAAACATGTGACAAAGTTCTGTGAGTTGCTTCGTCCGCCTACACAGAACAATTACTGCAGAGTTTTCAATGCACTCCTACCACCAGACCGCTCTAATAGTCATTGTTCAAAGGATTCTGGCACCTTCTACAGCCCTGGAAGGCGGAGGTGATATTAGAAGGAGTGAAAAAGATTTGAGGTTGAACATGAACGGAGCTGACTATGGCCCACGGCAGGGTGACTGCTGAAATCCTGTCATCTTCTACACTTACTACGCATGTGAAAGGGATAGTTCACCCAAAAATTTAAATTCTGTCATCATTTACTCACCTCGTTCCAAACCTGTTTGACTTTCTTTCTTCTGCAGAACACAAAAGAAGATATTTTGAAGGATGTTTTAACTGTTCTTGTCTATATGATGAAAGTCCAAAACAACACTTGATGCTATTGACTTCAACTGTATGAACAAAAACAACCCCCAAAACATACATTTTTCTATTTTTGTGTTTGACAGAAGAAAGTTTTTTTGGAACAATATGAGGGTAAGTAATGACAGAATATTCATTTTTGGGTTAACTATCCTTTTAAATGTACAGTATGTTCTAGTTTTGCTGGTGATAATTAAAAAGAGGTCTGTGAAATCATGAGCATTGATTTCCTAAAGTGCATATAGTGTGATTAAAATTAATTTATAACTTTAGAAAATATTTATTAATTATTTTTAGACATTATTTTCTTTTTTATTGGAACACAAAAGGATAATTATTTTAAGAATTGATTTGGTTTAACAACAGTTCATATTGGCTATCAATATCCAGCAAAGGCCTATAAATAAATAAATAAATAAACCAAATAAACACCATAAAAGTATCAAAGTGGTTAATACACTTGGGTTCCACAAGAAAACACGATTTTTTTGCACCCTCAGATTCCAGATTTTCAAAAAGTTGTATCTCGGCCAATTATTGTCCTATCCTAACAAATCCATACATCAATGGAAAGCTTATTTATTCAGCTTTCAGATGATGTATAAATCTCAATTTCGAAAAATTGACCATTATGACTGGTTTTGTGGTCCAGGGTCACATATGTGCTAATATATATTATCTACCAAGACAACCAAAAATATTAAATAAATTAAAAAAAAAGTGCTTGTAGTGGTATTATCGAGGAATACTCACTTGCGAGAATGACCATGTCCATTCCCCAAAATATGCTCATGATCCAGCCCACCATGACAATGGCTGTGATGATCTGGATGAAGGCGGCTGCGATGTTCAGCCAGAAAACGCAGCACATGGGCCTGTCGGGAAGGTCTGTCCTTGCTCCGCACAGAACCGTGAAGGCTGAGATGAATGTACCTATCACAAAAATACAGTGAAATGCTGTCAACATGGGACGATGTGATCCTCTTCTGTGGTTAAAATGGTTAACACATGCAATATGACCTCGGTCTTGATCTCAGCTTAAAGCCGCATGCTGTAATGATATCATTCATCATGGTGTGAATTATATCGTACATTACAGTAAGATCAGAGACATAATTACGGCATAAAATATTAACAGAGGAGCTTGAATATAAATTAACATGGTGATTATAATAGCAGTCAGTGTCAGATTTGCCTGTAGCTTTTATTACATCTGGTCTGGGCTGAAATTAATGTTTGTACTGTGCTCAAAAGATTATCGTTGAATAACAACTTTCATTTTGGTCTGTCATCACACTTCTGATAACTTGCAATATTGCACAAGTCATATGGACTACAAATATGGTTCTTTTTTTGTCTTTTGTGTTTTTCAGACCATATTCATTATGAACTGTTGTTGTGTGAAAAATATCTCTATCAAGAATCTTTAACATTTCTAGAACATGAAGGTGAAGAATAACAGAATTTTCATTTTTGCTTGATGATGAACTTAAAACATAAATGTACCTTTTTATTATTATGTATTTATTATTATTATGTATTTACAAGTAAAAAAAGAAATTTAACAAGAAAAAATGTAGGGCAGGGACTGGTTTTAATTTTTAATTGACTGGAAGATTAAAACTGGGCTTTACACAGCTGGATGGAGTCAGACTGAATGTGAGTTTGTGAAAAAATATCTATTTGGCTATTGGTTTGTTATGAATGACATCAGCTTTGGTTAAATATATTAAATATTTATACAATTTGTTTCATTTTAATATATATATATATATATATATATATATACACACACATACATACATGCATATACAACAATACATGCAACAATGAATCATTCACATAAGTCCAGCAAGAAATCTATTAAGAAACTATGATTTCATGTTCACTTTAAAGAGCAGTCTGCTTTTAAATCTAGGAACAGAGCAATTCCAAGGAGACATTTTCAGTATTTAAGTATGTGTTATGCTTTTCTGATCTTTCCACAGATCTGCAGGACTTGTCTGAAGAAGTGTCTCATTTGGGAACTTTAACCAACATGGTACTGTAACTCGCCAAGACAACTTTTGTCAGATAAATTTTTTCTATCCCCTTCAATCCAGGGCAATTAGGTTATGAATAGCTTTCCATATTTGTAAGGCCGATAAGCATAAGTCACACTGAAGGAGTCTGAGCAAGCAGCTATGCTGCCAAGCGCAGTTCAGCATCTCATTAGTGTTATCACAATAATAGATTCTAATGGGGAGGACAGCGGCTGAATATTAGCATATCCCACAAAACTGATGAGTCTCCTTATTATGAGAAATGCACTTTATTCACCCCGAATACAGCCTGTTCTTTAGTTAACAGTCTGCTGCTATGAAATGTTTGGCTGTTATTGAGAAGTCCTGGGAAAGAACTTAAGTTTATCTCTTGGAAGGGGCTTTCCAAGTAGAGAAGGGGGGGGAAAAAAATCACTTTTCACAGTGTTTTATTCCCACGGCCGATATACAAACAATACACTTACAGTACTGCTCCTGAAAGCAGACAGCTTACAATAAACACCAAGGAATTAAAGAACGAATGTAGGAAGTGGAAAAAGACATCCTTTTCTCAGTCCCTTGACTTGAGGAGGAGATATGCGTAAGCAGTGGCGTAACTTTGCTTTGAAAAGTGGTGGGGACACCGTGCAACTATTTTGCTAGTTTTTTATTTAATAACCTAATTTACTTGGGGACTGGGTTTAGAGTTGGACAAACTTAATTTTTGCTTTTCAAAAATACATCGATGTACCAGGGGCGGTGCCAGAGAATTTTGAACGCAGGTGCTGAGTGACAGAGGGAGCTGGGCAATTCAGCGCTCCAGACTCATTCTTCCCACTGGTCGCTCTTTTGCCATTAACTTTCTCAGTTGGTTGCGTTTTTTTTTTTTTTGCGCTACAACATGCTATTAATCAATGTATGCTGATGAACTTTTATCGTAGTTTATAGTTATATGGAAACGAAAGTAGTTAACATTCAACCCGTTCTTTTTCATCAGTAGTATTATTTGTGATTT